ATGCCCAGCCAGTCCCCGAGCAGTGCCCCCCCCAGCCAGCTTTCCCCCAGTTTATATACTGAGCATGACGTCACGTGGTATGGAATGTCCCTTTGGCCAGTTTGGGTCAGCTGTCCTGGCTGTGCCCCCTCCCAGCTTCTCGCTGGCAGGGCATGAGAAGCTGAGAAGTCCTTTACTAGTGTAAGTGCTGCCTAGCAACAACTAAAACACCGGTGTGTTATCAACATTATTCTCACCCTAAATCCAAAACACAGCACTGTACCAGCTACTAGGAAGGAAATTAACTCTATCCCAGCCAAAACCAGGACAATGCGACATTGGCATTTTTGGTTAAATTAGCAGTTTATACACTTCTGTTAGATGTAAACACTGAATTTCTGAAACAGGATTTTTGAAGAAGCTTAAAGTTCCTTGAGAAGGAATGTCCGTTTCTTCAATCCCAGGCTTAAGGGGAATGAAACTGATTCTTTGAGAGGGGTGAGAGTATTAGAGAACTGAAAGTTAAGTATTTCTGTGAAGGAAAGATGGTGGGCATCATCCATCAGAAATTACTTGGACCAACTGAAAAGGGGATTAAATTTTTAAGGGAGTTGTCTCTGTGATAATTGAAGTACTGATGTCAGTACCAGGACTGATATGGGAAATGTTTTTATATATATAATGATGGTGCTTTTCATAGTATTACTTGTCTACTGTCTTAAATGCTCAAAGTGAACACAGGGCTTTTGATTACATGAAAAAGTAATAAAAAGAATTCATTGTTTGAGTCTATTGCTTCCCTCGTTCCTACAGCGTGAGATAGGCCATGGGCAAGCTGTAGCTGCACATTATAATGAACTTCAAGAAGTTGGATTGGAAAAACGTAGCCAGTCTCGCATATTCTACCTCCGAAACTTTAATAATTGGACAAAGAGCGTCCTCATTGGTAAGCTTCCTTAATTGATTGCTTAGACTTTAATAAAATGTAACTAATTTTTGTATAAAAATGTAACTTTTTTCCTGCTTTCTGGTGTTGATTATGGCACTTTGTCTCTTAATACACAATAAGATTTTCAAGTGCAATAAAATATCTATATTTATATTTTGAATTTTTCTGATAGTGTTTTATATTGTTGGGGTGCCAAATACATGCTAAAGTTTTAAAGATCAACTGATCTGAAAGATAGAAAAAGTTCTTATTAGAAACTGTTCTTCTTCATGACCTTTTTAAAGAGAAAGGTACAGCTTTAAATCATAAAGAACCTATCTGTTCTTGTTAGATTGAGCTGTTATTGTTATTTAAATCTGTCTCATAATTTCACAGCTGTTTTCACAAAGTAGTCTGTCTTTAGGTCTAGATTAAGCAATTCTGTAGGAAACTTGAACACATAAATATTTTCTGTATTACCCATAGTCAACGGTTTAAAAAGATGAAAAACTGGAGGATGTAGTTCTTTAAGAATCAGCAGGTTTTTATAAAAGGCAAAGTCTGCTATCCCACAAATTAATTCCAAAGTGAGGAAACAAAACCATCAGATATCTCCAAACAAAGGAAAGAATTACCGGCAGAGCACCACAGATTCATGAAGAGGGATCCATGCCAGGAGATGTTGGCACCATTTGTTTTAGCATGCTGCTTTTTGTTGTGTTGTATCAGAGCAGTTAGAGGCAGTATTTTGGTTTATATAAAGACTTCCCTGGAGCCTGTGTTGAAGCCTTTCAGTCATGATGAATTTCAGTAGTGTGGTGTTACAGCAGTTGTATCCAAACATATTTCATGTCTCTTACTGTGAAGAAAAGTTGCTAGCATGCTGATACATTTTGCATAATTTGCCAGCATCAGTCAGAGCAGAGATAATCTCGACAGAGTGGAGGTAGAAGAGAAAATGAAATTGGTATATGTAGGGTAAAAAGACAGCAAACAAGTAGCTAGTGTTATTGCAAGGCCTAGGAGAGTGGGTGGAGAACATTATGCATTTTTGTAATGTGACCGCAAGGAAAAGTTGTGGCTGATGCATTTAATTGGCTTTTACTCTTTTGCAAAAGACTTTCCCATACTTTGAAATAACATCTGCCTTCGTTATAATGGTAGTGAAAGGGAGCCCTGTTTCCCCACTCACGCATGGGGTGGTTGTTTAGCAATGTGCAGTTTTGCCTTTGTCTGCCAGGGAAACAGTTCAGAGCTCCAGTCACATTACATGCAAAGCACATTAAGCACAGAAAACATTCATTATCTTCTCCATAGTTTTAAAAGTTTGTGGTTGCTTTCATCATTAGTGGTTTCTAGAAAAAGAGATTTAAGTCTGTAATGTTAAGAAGACTTATAGGCAAAGTAAGTTCTGAGATGTTTTAAAATTCTCAAACCCATCTGGTCCTTTAGGGATCCCTGTACAATACAAGTGAATTAGAGACCTGTATATGCATTCTCTCTTTATTTTTCTAGGTGAATTTATAGACCGGGTACGACGGAAAAAGAATGATATAACTGTTTTGGATCTAGGATGTGGCAAAGGTGGAGACTTACTGAAATGGAAAAAAGGCAGAATTAAAAAACTTGTCTGTACCGGTAAGAAGACATAATAACTTTCCAGGGAAAGTATACCAGTGTTTTATGGGAAAACCAAGCACGTTCCCAGTCTTTCATTATTTCCTTTTTCAGTAAGCCCAAGAATGCAATGATATACCTTCTGTCAAAAAGTCTTCTTTTGTCTTTTAACCTGAAGATATCAACTTGATTGCCAGCATAAATATAAGAACCATTGATTTCCTGTGTAATGAGCTTTCAGTTCAACTCATAAATAAAAACTGCTATCAGTAAAGAAGTGCACAATTACCACAGATTGTCTTAGGCAAAGTGTAACACTGGGGAAAAGACCGACATTTTGTATTTTATGTATTTTCTTTCACATCTAATCTTTTGTAGTGTTTTTTAACTGTTCTGAAAATACACACGTAACAGTTACATTTAAAAAAAAATAAAACCCCACAGTCGTTTGACAAAATATGGTCTGATAAAATTTTTCATTTAAATAGTTTGCTTAGATGCTGGAAAGGAGATACCATCTTCTCTTCTCCCAAAAAGCATGCCAAGGATAATCAGAGGAAGCATTACTTAACTTCAAATTTAACAGATACTGAAATTTCATAAAATTCCTTTAGTGGGAATTATTCTGGGTATTCTACATTTTACAGTTCTTTCTTGCCTTTCATTTTCCATTGGCAGTCTTCAAATACAGTTAATGAATTTGCTTACAAAGTTCTTACGTAAATTTATTGCATATTGTTAGTTTTAATATAATTCAGTGAAACTCTGAGAGAGGAACAGTCTTAGAAACAAAATTAAAAAATTCCCATGATGCAATATATCCGCATATATCACAAATAATTGCATTTCAACATCTTGTATATTTGTAAGAAGATGAAGAGCTTTCAGTACTGTTGGAGAAACTCTGGGAGCTGAACTGTTTTAGCTAATGCATACCAGACACTTAATGCTAACAGCACTTAGTATCAATCACCTAGTATCCATCACTTGGAAGTTTTGGAGGCTTGCTTTGCACTTTTGAGGATGGGAGCTCTCTAAAATCTTCAGATTACAACTTTTGTCTGACGTAAAGACTGAAAATGACAAAGACTTATAATCGAAAACACCTCCTGCAAATTAAATTCCTTCTCTACAAATTGGAAATGAAAGCGTTTGTTCCCATCGAAGTGTAACTGAAGATCAACTTGGGTCTGCTGTGTTCCAGTAATCATTATGGTTTTCTTGTCTGGGGAGCAGTTTTCGCACCTTTTTTTTTTTTTTTTAAATTTCTCTTTTTTTTAATTTAATTTTTTTTAATTTTTTTTAATTTAATTTCTCTTTTTTTAAATTTCTCTCTACCTATTGCTGACATTTCTGTGCAACAGTGCAAGCAGCGATACGAAGACATGAAAGCCCGATGTCGTTACAATGAACATATTTTTGATGCAGAATTTATACAAGCAGATAGCACCAAGGTACAGTTCCTATGCTTTATAATATGTTGGAGATTTAATGTTCTTGTGTTAAGCAAGTATAGAAAGTGATGCTAGTGCTGTACTATTTAGGGCATGTGTATTTTTAAAATCAGATTATTGTGCTATCGGGAGAATCAACTATACAGGTTACTGAGACGTAGTTAAATGTGTTTCGTTACTGTTTTACAGTGTAACATTCTTGAATCCTGAATTTCTTTTTCAGGTAATAAATCTGGTGCTTTCAGGTTCTTTCACTTGACAAGGGAAAGGGAATGACTACTTATTTCTGGAGTTCTGGGAGCCAGCATGGAATGTTGGAAACTGTCTTGGTGAATGTGGTTTTTATGCTGGAATGAATAAGGGATGTTTTCTGATTTGACTTGTACATTTTGATTATCCCAATAATTTTTTTCTAGCAGCATTTTGATTACTATAATACATATCTTCAAAACTTGTGTGATAGAGCAGATTTCTGAGACTGTCTGGAGGCGATATTGAATACATCGCTGAGGCTTAGGAGACAGTCTTACAACCAGCGCTGCTTTTGCTTCCATGAAATGAAGGCTGAGAGTGTGCTGCTGATGCAGGCTGAGGGACAGAGCCTGCCTGCTTCCAGCATATCTGCGGAAAGGCTGAAACTGTTCTTCCCAGACTTGCAGGAAGGGTTTTTGACTTGAATTCTTGGTTGCCTCCCCTTCTTCTGAGGAATACAGTCTGTTGCAGGTTCCAGGTCATCTCTCTCTGCTTAAAATTACAGTCAGCAGAGAGAGGAGAGCACCTTGGCCAGGAGAGAAAGGGGTCTTTTCATGTTGCTATTACAGCTCAGTCTTACATGCACGTGTATTTTCTGTTGCACACTCTGTTCTGTCTGTCCACGGACACAAAAGTTCATCTCCCTGGCTTTGTCTCTCTATCATCTATGTTGTATATAATGCAAAATCTCCTTCTCACAGCTTGTCCAATTCCGCCCACCTTTGTTTCTCAGTTTCCTGTATCTCTTTCTCAAAATGCAGAGAGGGAGTAAATGAACAGATAAAATTGCTATGGGTATGTGAAGTGTCCATTTTTGTCTTGCCACATGCAGAACGTTGACAGTATGTGGCATGAACTGGTAGAGACTGAGAGTGAGTGGGTGGATGGGAAGTCTGGGAGAGAAGAGAAACTTGGGTAGAACTGTTGTGGAATGCACATCATGGGCCTTGGGGAGAACCCATGTGCTCCTGTGTTATTTATGTTGGCTTACTAGTATTGTATAAAAGAAGCCTGATCAAGAAGAGTTAGAGAACTGCTGAGTACAGGGTCAAACTGTGGCAAACTTTAACCTGACAAATTTCAAGGGCTCCAAGTTCTTTAAAGTTAATGGTTACTTGGTCTGGGGTGGGGAGGAGTATGTTACACATGTATGTACGTGTGTGAGAATACAGATAAACATGACTTGGTGAGCAGGCAATTTGCCGTATTTAAAACAACTCCTCCTCCGCTAAATTATATGTTTAATGGGTCAGTTCTCATTACAGAGACTTAGTAAACTGAAAATTCATTTTATTATCATAATTGTTTCCAGCTAAACAGTGGCCGGTTATAAACCCTCAGCAGTAAAATATCTCTGGAAACTGTTAGGTAACTAACCTCGCGTTTTGGCCTTTCAGGTGCCGTGGTGTTACTTGACAACATGAAAAGAAGTCGAGGACATGATAACTTTGAAATGTGTATGTGTATTCTTGTTGTTCCCAAATGTTACGTATGGTTTTCTGTGTAGCAGAGGACTTTTTCTTACTCTTACCTTTTTCATCTTGTTCTCGTTGAACTTGTGAAGTAGTGGGAGCTGAAAGGAAAAACTTCAAAGAATTATGGAAGTAGCATATTTTGTTGGAAGATTTAAGTGAATCATGCTTGTTTCTGTAGCTTTTGTTACAGTTTTTTTTCTTTTTAATCTATTTCAGGATCTCTTGTCTTCCAAATACAATGATCCAGATATGCGCTTTGACATTTGCAGCTGTCAATTTGTTTACCATTACTCATTTGAGACATATGAACAGGCTGACATGATGCTTAAAAACGCTTGTGGGAACCTCTCTCCTGGAGGGTATTTCATTGGCACAACTCCAAATAGCTTTGAACTTGTGTAAGTACTTTTATATTCTATTAGTCTTTCAAAAGTCTGTGAAGCATTGTGATAGTTGTTCTTACCGTGCTCTGATATGTTTGTGCAAACATAAGCGAGTTTTTTGCAACAGTTTTGGATTCTAGTCAGGAAAATCTCACCTGTGAACTTGACTCAAACAGGTAAATCTGCACTAATCCTTGTCTCCTGCACCCATGGTTCTTCTGGTATAGAATATAGATCTTCATACATAAACCCTCTGTAGCAACTTAAATAGTGGCAAAGTAGCCACAGCCTGGGGAATAACTGTCAGGGTTTTGCTGTGGTTGTTCCAAGAAGCTTGACTTGTCCATGTAGACTGTGTCTGGGCTAAAGGTTAATTTTCTAGGTCCATTTAGTCCTTGGTATGTTATATAGGAATGATAAACTATTAAAACCTAGTATGTTTCTTCTCTTCATTTCACTGTTTCATTGCCTTACTAGGTAAGGGAGGTTGGAGACTACAGAGATCATTGAATGCTGTCGTGCTGGGAGAAACACTTTCAGGCCTCTTATGCATAGTTTTCTCTGCCTGTTAAATTAAAAACTGGTCAATAAATGTTTGTTTATATCTCATTTTATAGGAAGCGACTTGAAGCTTCAGAAACAAATTCATTTGGGAATGAGGTGTACAGTGTAAAATTTGAAAAGAAGGGAGAATATCCCTTGTTTGGCTGCAAGTATGATTTCCACTTGGAAGAAGTGGTTGATGTCCCTGAGTTCTTGGTTTACTTTCCATTACTGGAAGAGTAAGTTAAGTTTTGAATTCATTATACAATGAAAGCTGTGAAACATAATAAGCATTTGTTTAGCTTGTGCGTCATTGCATAATACTTGCAGAAGATTACATTTTGGCTTTCTTATTATATTTTTCAGTTCTTCATTTTTTGTTGTTGCTCCAAATGAAGAGGTTTCTTGCATTTCCACCCACAACTATGGTCTGTCCATTGCACTCAGTTGAAGGTGCTCTGGTCAGAAGCTGTGAAGACTTAAACTAGGTCTCACAGGAGAATGTCTGTATCTCATATGTTGGATCTGTCAGCAAACCTTTAGTGCTGTCAACTTTTTCTTTAATCTTAACTTTTTGGGGGGTTTCATTCTACCTTTCTTTAGTTCTTCAGCAAGCCTTCTTGTATATCCTCTTCATCATGGTACCTCTTTCTTGTCTTCTCCAACTTCCTTTGGATGTTTGTAGGATTTTTCCTACGACTTATTTTTTCTTCCTCTAAATCTTCATCTGTGAGCGCATACATTTTGCTGTTACCTCTGTGTGAATTCAGATTTGCCTTTCCCAGCCTGTCTCCTGAGGTACAGACAAATGTTTCTATGTTGGGGTTTTTCCTGCCATTCAAGCTCAGTTATTGTTAAACTGTTGTTAAACAATATTAAGCTTTCCCTTCAAACCTGTATATTTTCACACACTTCATTTGTAGTTGTCTATGAAAAATACCAGCGTCTGTCACTGAAACCTGTAACTTCAGTGTTGTATGACCACAGTGTTCTACATATAAGTGAGATGTAAGGCACTAAATCTAGTAGAAAGAGGTTCTCTAAATATATCCATAATATCTGATGTGACAGGGTGATGATACTGCAGGGAAAATAGCGTAGTCTTTCTGGAAGTTCAAATGGAACTTCTGTGTGTTGGGAGAAGAGACATTTTTCTATTAAAATGTTTGTAAATGACTTCTGTGTAGATTTTTGTTGTCCTAATTAAAAAAAAAGTACAGTTTGTGGTGGCAGTGCAGTTTTTCTCATCTAAATGTCTTTACTAAAAAAACAAATTCTAGAAGGAGTGTAATCCTAGTGAATACCATAAGATGTCACTGTGGCTTAAAATTGTTCCTTTCAAAATAAAACTACAATAATTTTGTGGCTTCTGTAATTAAGCTTATTATTTTGACAGAATGGCAAAGAAGCATGGTATGAAATTAGTCTACAAAATGACATTTCGGGAATTCTATGAAGAAAAAATCAAGAACGAGGAGCATAAAATGCTGTTAAGGAGAATGCAGGCCTTGGAGGTAAATATGGAGTTAACTTGTTTCATTTAAATAGCATTTTACATCTTGTAATTATTTGTGCAATAATTGAAATTCCTGTTGTGAACATTGTGCAATTAATTAAGGGCTACCAATAGAAGAACTAAACTCCTGTGGCTGAAAGTGTGACTGTGGTGCCCCACTCATGGCTGAAGGGCTCAGCTGTGCCCTGCGATGGCTCTGTTGGAGCTGGTGGAACCATCTGTGTCTGGGATAGCCCTGGCCCCGGCCTTTCCTCATGGAGGCCACCTGTGCAGCCCCCCCACTGCCATCACCTGGGCACCAGCACCCAATAGAGTGATTCAGTTCTGTAGATAAAATTTTAATTTTGAGGCAAGTTTTCATTTTTACTAACTAGCAAGCAGAAGCACAAGAATCATGTCTGGTGTCAGATAGTGGTAACCATAATCCATTTCTTCCTCAGCAGAGAGAAACTGAAAGCTGGATCTTTGTGCAAGGAATATTGTTTGAAAAGACAGAAAGTAATCTTTGTAGAATAAAAGGACAGGCTGTGTTTGTGGAACAAAATGGTACTTACCTGTAACTGAGCTTATGTTTTTCCCCAATGTTTTTGCTTTTTTATCCTCAAGCTCTTATCCTGGATGACTTGAGCAGCTTCAGAGAAGCCATCTCTGAGGCTTTGGTTTTACTCACAGTTCTCTGTGCTTCCCTACTCCCTCAAACAGTAGAATTTTTCAGCATAGAACTATCAAGTCAAGTATCTGGTGACTTACTAAACTGAGTCACATGGGCTGCAAGTGGACTTGACTGTCCTTGTTGACATCTGAAAGGGACGGTGCTTTGTATGGGCTCATATTGCCAATAGCATGGTGACACAGCCTTTGACATACCAGCATTGTTCTCAGTTGCTGAGGCGAGCAGCTCTGATGCCGGCACGATCCACAGTGGAGTGCTCTAGCGAGGTGCACAGGGTGGTTTCCTGAACCAGGGGAACCTCAGGGGGAGCTGAGGGAGCCGCCAGGAGCCCACAGCTCGCATGACAGCGGCTGACGAGACCTGGGCAGGGCCAGGAGCCCCACACACATATAAAAGAAGCCCTTAAGGAGTGCTAGCAACCGGGAGCGCCGCCAACAGGACGGGCGAACAGGGCATGGTGTGTCAGCAAGGGCATGGCATGGCATGGCAGTTTGCACAGCAGTTTGCGTGGAAGGGCGTGCAGGAAGGACACTGAAGCTCTGCCAGCTCGGCCAGGGAGCAGTGGTATCCACCTGGCAGAAAGCCATGGCCTCTCTAAGCTCTGCACCCACCACGACTGACGCA